CCCAGGCGCCCCAGGGCAGGGCCAGTTCTGAGGTCAAGCCCACTCTCTGAGCCTGGAACTCTGGTGAGTGAAGGATGCCAGCCTGGCCTGGCCCCTCATCACAGGGTCTTTCCTGCTCTTGGCCCTGGGTGTGAGGCCCCTGGAAGGGCTGCTCAGGCATGGGGGGTGGGGAGGACACCTGGAAGGGGAGTTCTCCCTGAAGCTGAATGTTGAAGGACAGGGATAGAGGAACAGGTGTTATAGTTGGGAGAAGAGCAACTACAAAGGCCAGTGGGGAATGCAGGGGTTGGGAGGGGAGGAGACGGGGGATGTGAGCAATGCCAAATTGAGTGACAGATTGTAGGCAAGTGAGTCTGGCTATGGGGGGAATGGGAGAACACAAATGGGCTCCAGGTGCCAGGCTCTGAATCAGACCCTGGGTCCCATATCTACTTTGGAAAGGCTCACTCACGGCATTATTTTTTTTAAAATGTATTTGAGAGAGAGAGAAATAGAGAGAGTGCAGTTGGGGCAGAGGGAGAGGGAGAGAGAGAATCCCAAGCAGGCTCCCTGCTCAGCGTGGAGCCCAGTGCGGGGCTCGACCCCAGGACCCTGAGTTCAAGACCCCAGGCAATTTCAAGAGTCGGATGCTCAACCACCTGAGCCACCCAGGTGCCCCTCATGCATGTCAATTTTGTTCTCATGATACAAATGGCAGAATGTGAGACAGACAAACTTTTGGCTGCTGAGGCTAGGCAGAAGATGGATTGGGAAAACATCAAGGGAAACATCTAGACATTCAGTCAATAACTATTTAGTGAGCAGACCTACTATGTGTGAGAACTGGGAATAGAGCAGGGAACAAAGTGTTTGCCCTCATGGACCTCAAGGTGTAGGGAGTGAAGACAGAAAAAAACACAAGTGGGTGAGTAATATGATGGTGGTGACAAGATAAACACGAGGGAGGTTCTCCGCAGAAGATAGACAAATGGCCGCTAAGCACACGAAGAGATGTTTGACATCACTAGTCATCAGGGAAATACAAATAGAAACCAAAACCAGACACCACTTCACACCTATTATTAAAAATTTTAAAGAGGTGGGACGCCTGGGTGGCTCAGTCGGTCGAGCATCTGACTCTTGGTTTTGGCTCAGGTCCTGATCTCAGGGCTGTGGGATCCAGCTCCACATCAGGCTCCACGCTCAGCCCAGAGTCTGCTTCAGATTCTCTCTCTCCATCTCCCTTGGGCCCTCTCCACACTCATGCTCAATCAATCAATCAGTAAAATCTTTAGGGTGCCTGGGTGGCTCAGTTGGTTAAGCGACTGCCTTCGGCTCAGGTCATGATCCTGGAGTCCCAGGATCGAGTCCGGCATCAGGTTCCCTGCTCGGCAGGGAGTCTGCTTCTCCCTCTGACCCTCCCCCATCATGTGCTCTCTGTCTCTTTCTCTCT